ATATTGCACAGGTTTACAAATAAACTTACAATTAGTATGATTCATGAATAATTTCTTCCTCAGCCTCTTATATATTAAGTTATATAGCAAACAATCGTAGCAGCATTTTTATTTCACCTTCCTTTTCGCATTGCAAATGAAGAATTCTAAAACATTAAAAAAAAAAAAAATTAGAATTGTACTTCGTTTGATAAATAAAATAACCAAGATTAATTTCTTATGGAACAATAGTTTCCATTCAATACAGGAAAAAATACAACTGCTCAAATTTCCTAACCTAACATATGTTGTTTACGTTGGACTCTAAAGCAACCATGCCTCTCATCTATGATACAAATTTTTAGTCCGATTTGCACACGATATTATAGGCGAATGGATTAATACTAGATACATAGCACCAGCTTCATAATTTCAATTTTAATTTCGGTGCGTAATATCACTTACTCAATACGGACGCCAAATTGGCATTACCTTCGACATTAATGCAAATTCACGACATTCACTCGATGGTACTTTATGCAATATTGGTATCTCATAACTAATTTCGTCGTTACTAACCAACAAATATCAAATTAGGAATTGCCAGCATAATTCATGGCAGCAATTCGCTGGACACATTACGGCGTCCCAACGCCGCTTTCAAACATGGCCGCCATTGCGTCTTACGATCAAGCCGACACAAAGCGTTAAATTAAAAGATAAATATGCAACTTACGGTTTGTATCGAATAATATATCGAAGATCGATCGCCTTGTAATCGATGAGAAGCAAAATCAACACAGATACCACCAACTTTCCACTAAGAAAATCAGAAAAATATCGTAACAATTCACGCACGTGGTACTATCGTTCTTCGCAGCAAGCAGACTAACTGCTACGCCGTGCGTGGCGAAGCTTGGAACTACAGCTGGCGCCAAACCCTCAATTGTTTAAAATAATTGATAAACTAATAAGAAGATTTATTTAACACAATAACAGCATAATATAAATTATAACTAAATCTCGTAAAATAAATTCGCTTCAAACTGCAATATAATCTCTCGAGGACTCTCTTACACACAGGTCTATATGTAATGACTGTCATTCACCTACTGATTGTTTTTTCGCGACTCTCTGCCACACTCGTCACACAAACATTCCTCACACTCATACCACACATTCCATGACAACCAGTAGCACAATTTTATGGTTCATAAAGGGATGAAAACTCATGGCCACCATAATTCAAGTTCAAAAGTTTCTTTTCATATATTTTCAGCCAAATTTCGTAACCATATACGGATCGTGCAGACCCCGTACTTCCATTATTCATAGTATAAAGTACGCTGCTCCTTATTTACTCTCGTCCCATTCGCAAGAACCAAGAAGAACGAAAGAAAGTACTTCCGACAACTTACACAACCTCTTCCCTCCTAGGCAAACAGTCAGCTAACCCCAGCACGCGCGACGTCTAATCAAAGAGAAGACAAATTCGAAACCAATTAAAGGTAATTCGAGTCGTGTCAGATGAGCCTTACTGTATTTGCGGAACGAGTGAAGAACGGCGCCGATCAAACATTAAAACTGACTCGTCTGAGCGCAGGTTGGGACCACGCCTAAGGCCAAGGGATGTTAAATTTTAGATTACCAAGTGCAAATCAATTTGAGACGCGGAGGAACGTGACGTCTGCTCGCATCCTAATTACACGTGTAATAAGAAGGAAAACGGCCACATTCACCCCGTCGTCGACTACGACGGCTACGACGAATAGGACGTCGACGACGAATTTACATAGCCGCGACGTCCTGGATTTATAACCGTGCGCAATCTGAATTTCATGGAAACTAATTCCGCGGCTCACTTAATGGAGTCTTCTCCCTCGCGTGGTGCAGATCGCCGCGTCGATTGCAGCTGCTACAATCTCGCGCATTTTACGCGCCCGCGATCACCTCGTGTCGTTTTCACGCAATTCATTAGTTAATCAAAATCGTCACGCAACGGGACGCAACTGGTCAGGCAACGATTTAGTTCGCGTTGTAACGAGACCGTTTCACATGGGTCGGGGGTGACAGGAGCCTGACGTGTGGTTTTGTCACAATGGAAATAGAGGCGTGACGATGTTCCGTTTGTTTTTCCCGCTCAGTGCTTTCCATTGTCCTTTTCATCTCTTTATCAGACGGTGGCTTAACTGATCGAATTTACGGCGAGAAATAATTGAAGTTGAAATGGTCGACTGCATGAATGGGATTGTATAAATCCGGGATGATATAGCTCATACTTTTAAAAATAGTTTGGTCACCGAAGAAATGGAGATTTACGCGTGTATGAGTTTCAGATATCGGATTTTTGCCTACTGAAACGAGGAAGTTAGAATAGAAGTACAAAAAAGACAAAGGTAACAATTCCCTTCGTGTTAATATCGCGAGATGGATCATAGATCACTCCACGGTCCGTGCATTCCGATCCCCCTTGTCCGGATGGTCATGAGACTTGTCAGAAATTATATAGAGAACCTGGGATTTCAACATTCATGCCACAGCTGCTTTGAAACGTGCTACGAACCGTCCTGTATCCCGATATGCCAACTTTTCTAATCACCGGATCGTGAAATACACTATAGATTGCACAGGCTGCCTAGGTTCTCTGCTCTTCTGTTCTCGAGGATACGAAGTTCATTACAGGGCATACTTAAGTCAAAGATTTCGATTAACCTCGTCTCAAAAACGTTAGTCGAACTTCCGACTAGCACGTGATCTAAGAACCAGGACATCTGTGTTTCCGATGTCGTCGTGTCAGCTATGAAACAAGCCAAGATTCAAGAATATCGATCATCTAGACTCCGGGGACTTAGATGCATCATGTATGCCTGGGAATTCTCAAATGTTGAATTCTTGGGTTTCGAGCTAATCCATGACAGGTCCATGTTAGAGAGACAGAGATGCTCTCTGCCTTGAGAATGATCGAATTCGAGTTTCACGACTGCAGGCTTTCCTTAACGGTTTTCAGGTCTCCTCGGTGGTCTTGGATACTAATATTTTAGCACGTTCCATGGAAGACGCTGAAGCATCACGTGTTTATTAATTTTGTTAATATAATAACTTTTCCGATAGATGTCGAATATATATTTGGAAGGTCCATTTGTCCTCAGGGAATTTCCTCGATCGCTGAATTTAGTGGTCTGCGACAATTATCATCATCAGTGGTGCACGAAGTGGATCATTTACGATTACTATCTATGTCGAGTGATTTATAGGCCAAACATCGATAAAACGCAATGTCTCATGGACTATCTGATAGATTCATGTTCGACGTAAGCTTGGGCATACATCGTCGCGAAACAAGAATCGCTCATCGAAATCTAGTATGCGGTGATATCATTATAGCTGATTCTGGCGTATCCATGCTTCCAGGTCCTTCAGCGGCCCCTGTGGCGATTGTCCGAACGACTCGATACTCTCGATACGGTATTCTATGGCTCGTTCACGTCGTTCGGTTTTGATTAATGAGAGAATACCACAGTGTGTTCGTGTTTCAGTCGAATGTCAAACGGAACGCAGAGCCAATAGAGGATCCTTGATCTCTTCAATTGTGCGATGATTACGCTTGTATGAAAGCCTTCTGTCATCCATTTCGATGATTTTACGTAATGAATTGCGAATCGCGGATAATATAATAGTGTCATACGTGGAAAGTTTCAAAAATTCACGATGATATGAATAATACGCGATGGAGAGGTTCTAATTGGTGCTGATTGATAGGCAGTAATTGTCAAAGCTTCGTGGCGTGTATAATTGCATGGACTTTTTTACACGCATTATTCTCGATGTAGTTATTATTAACACTACGTAGGTGGGTATAACTTTGTATACATTTTTTGATTATCACTTATTTAACTGCTTCACGCTAGAACCATGTTAACACTTTACCGGCTACTGTCACGCTGGCCTGACTTCAGTTCAGTGCGGTACAATGCTTCCACTATGCTTCTGTTTTAACTGTTCCGATTGTCTTTTCTTGATATTCTTTAAGCAGATGCTTGTTCTGTTAGTCTCAGATCTTAGTGCCTTTTTTAACCCATTTGCATCATGGCTCTACTTAAGGTGCTGTGTTCAGGCATTAGTGACGTTCAACTGACGACTAGCCCGCATCACCGCGCGTGTATCAGCACCTACTCATAATGGCAGTTAAAAGGATTTTCACAACAAAAGTAAAACTTGTTAAGAATATAATGAACCGATGTAGATGAGATGCTCACAAAAGGGATCAAACGTGATCTGTGGCATATGAAGAATATTCAGCAACTGATAATGGAAATAGTCAGCTCGCGGAATATTCCGCGCTCGGTGATAGTCGACTGTCGTGGCTCGCGGAATATTCCGCGCTTGGATGCAAATGGGTTAATAATAACCAGACCGTATGTACGAAGGATGGCGTAAATATGACCGTCAGCGAGCACTAGAACCCGCGGGAAATTAATAACAGTCGATAGTGTGAAACAGCTATATATTTTCAATAACAGCAAAAGCGGACAATCCTAGACAATTCATATTGACTAGTTACTACTACTACTAATATTTTTTTTTACCGATTATCTAACTTGATGGCTTTGGAAATAATATATACAATATTCATAAAATATGAATAGACCTTCGTTAAGAGAAAAGTTCAAAGGACCCCGTATGAAGAAACCAATAAAATATGAGCTCCTTCAATTCTCAATTTCTCTATTTTCTTTTTATCAGTTTTTTCCTCAATAATTTTCTATTATTTTCAGTGCTTAGTATAAATCTACTTTAGGTTGCAACGAAAAATATCCGAATAAAAAATAGACAAGGTAATTCAAGGGCAAAGTAGTACTAACAGAAATTATATTTCACGATAACATTTCCATATCGTAAAGTGACGTTGTCTCGTACATATGAACTATGGGTCTCATTTTTGACTGATTTCTTTCTCTAGGGTTCGACCGATGGCATTTTCACAGAAACTGTCTGGCGATAAAAAATTCGTGACCACGTACCTGTATGGGTGTCGGACGCCGATAGGTAAACGAGGCAGCAAGTCGTTAGGAGCCGAAGGAGCCACATGACACTACACATGATTGCCCGACGCGTGGCTCCTCCCTTCCTTATCTGTTCCCCCTGCTGCGGTTCGCGTACCGCTGCCGCGACATTGCTGTCATCTGAAACACACGACCGGATATCACGATAGTTTCAGTCGTATCCATGCGCTAACGGGGCTCCCGACTTATCTCCAAGTCGCATTCGAACCCCTTCCGCGCGCGTGAATTGATTAACTTTACGCGCAGACCCGAAGAAACGCATAACCGTTCATAAATGCGACGATGCGAGGAAATTCGATCAAAACCCAAGGAAAATGTATCTACCCTTGAAATTCCTGTCTGTTTCAATGATTAAGCAAGATTAAAATAGTCAACAAACGTAATTCGAGTAATTAGGGGACGATTTATGAAAGTGACTAGGTCTTGCTTAACCCTCTGCACTCGAAAGACGCCTCTCACAAGGAGAGTGCAAGTCCTTCGGGTCACCGATTTAGTTGAAACTTTGCAGGTTTGTAGATATCGTCATGTAGTTTAAGAAAATATACCATTATAGGAGCAACTACTAAGCAATTTTTGAGATATTTGCGATTAAAGTTTTATTACTTTCGTAATTACAGATTCATTTCCATCATTTTACAAGTGCAGTCGTGGCCTAAAAGCGGTAGATGAATATTCCTGTGGTAATGGAGCGTGGTTCGATTCTCGTCCCATAGTTGGTAGTTTTTTAATCTATTTTTAATTGTGTTAATTTTCCGTCTATGAAAAAATTGTAAATAGAATTTCTTAATAAAATAATTTATTTTTTACGCTTTCTTATGCTAGTTTATAATTATTACAAAACAATAAGAATATTATGCAAGAAAAATACTTTTCTATAGCAATCTTAGTTACTACAGGAAACACAAAACCTATCGCTCATGTAAGTATTAATTATTAAATTAAACATCTTA